AAGGAAGGAAGGAAGGAAGGAAGGAAGGAAGGAAGGAAGGAAGGAAGGAAGGAAGGGAAAGTGCTAGCCAATCTTACTGCTGTTTTCATGAGAAGAATTCAAGATCATTAGTACATCTGAGTTTACTGCCCACGACTCAGTGTATTGGTTCCCAAGGACTGCCCTAACAACGTACTGCATGCTGGGTGGCTTCAGATAGTAGACATTTATTCTCCAACAGTTCAAGAGGCTAGAAATTTGACATTAAAGTACCACCGGGGCCATCCTCCTCTGAAGGCTCTAGAAAGAAACTGTCCCATGCCTCAGTCCTAGCGTCCGCTGGCCCCTGGCAGTCCTCAGTGTTCCCTTGATGTGTAGCTGACTGATCCCAACCTCTTCACCCTTCTTCCTATGGCCTTTATTCCTGGATTTCCTCTTGTCTCTGTGCCCAAATCTCCCTCTTCTTTCTCTTATAAAGACACCAGTCACTGGATTTGGGACTCATCCTACTCCAGCTCACCAGAGGGATCACAGGTTCTCTCACCTTTGTGCCCAGAGAAAATTCTAGAACTTCAGCTTTTTTTAGTGTAAGGGCTAGTCTAAAAGCAGGGCAACCTAAAGAGTCTTTCCTAAAAGCAACGAGAAGTACAGCACTAGACCAATAAACACTAAGCACACTTCTTCCTGAGGGTGAGTGGAACCAAAAATCACGATTCTGAGTAAAGGGTACTTGTCAGTTGATTAGAAGCCTAGATTGTCTGAGAAAACTGAAATTACTTTCCATAGCATGCCTTGGAAAATAACAGAAAGCACCACACAACAGGCCTTTCAAAAACCATCCGAGGCTTACTCTTGGAAGAAGAATCCTGGGTTCAGATACCCTGCTGTCTTGGCCAAAGGTGATCCCAGTGAGCACAGGGGCTAAAACAGTTCTGGCGTTAACACAGGGCACTACCAGAGGACAGATAACACTGTAGCTGGAGGAAGAAGGTTGGCCTCTGAAGGTTACATGCATAACCCTTTTTGCATTTCATTTTTTACTACTTGGTTGTAGTTCTTGTTTTTTCAATTGTGGTAAAATATACATAGCATAAAATTGGGGCACGTGCATGGCTCAGTCCATCAAGTGGCCAACACTTGTTCTCAGCTCAGGTCTGGAGCTTGGAGTCTTGAGTTCAAGCCCTGCCCCAGGCTCCTTGGCGGGTGTGGAGCCTACTTAAAAAAGAAAAGAGGGGCGCCTGGGTGGCTCAGTCGGTTAAGCGTTCCAGGTCACAATCTCGTGATCTCGCGGTCCATGAGTTCGAGCCCCGCGTCGGGCTCTGGGCTGATGGCTCAGAGCCTGGAGCCTGCTTCCCATTCTGTGTCTCCCTCTCTCTCTCTCTCTCTGCTCCTCCCCCGTTCATGCTCTGTCTCTCTCTCTGTCTCAAAAATAAATAAACGTTAAAAAAATAAAAGATTTAAAAAAAAAAAAAAGAAAAAGAAAAGAAAAGAAAAACTGACCGTCTTAACCATTTTTAAGTATATAATTCAGTAGTATCAGGTACAACCCCATTGTTATACAACGAATGCCCAGAAGTCTTTCCATCTTGGGATTATTTACCGTGAGGTGTGATGCGAGGTACATTTCAGTTTAACTGATGGAAGCGGGTACAGGGCATGTCCTGTCACTTCTGTGTATTTTCTAGAACGGGCAGCGACCCGCTCCCTCCGCCACGCATGGCCGCCCTCTGCCTTTCCTGGAGAGGAAGCAGCCACCACCTGTGGGCAGTAACAGCCCATGGCAGTGCCTGCAGCAGGACCCGCACAGCCTTCTGGACACTGGGAAGGGGTGACAGACATGGGGATGGAGAAGAAGGGAAGCCGGGGGAGGGGCGGCCGAATGGGGTTTTGGTAACCTGTCCCTGTTTGCCTCCAGGTGAACATGACAACGGATTTGGAAGGGAGTGACATGTTGGTGGAGAAGGCAGACCGGCGGGAGTTCATCGACCTGTTAAAGAAGATGCTGACCATAGATGCTGATAAGAGAATCACTCCAATTGAAACCCTGAACCACCCCTTTGTCACCATGACGCACCTACTCGATTTTCCCCACAGCACACAGTAGGTGTCTTGCTCGATACTTTTTACCAGGGGTCAGCAGACTTTTTCTTTAAAGCCTCAGATAGTAAATACTTTGGGCTTTGCGGCCATATGGTCTGTGTCACAACCGCTCTACTCTGCTGTTGTCGCTGACGGTTGCCGTGGACTGTACGGAAACCAATGAGGGAGGCTGTGTTTCGATAAAACGTTATTTGTAAAAGCAGGCGGCAGCCAGATTGGGTGGCCCTGAGCCACCCTTTGCTCTACACCAAAAAGCAGGGAACGGGAAGCGTGGGAGAGCTGAAGGCTGGGTGAACCCGCCCCGGGGGTCTGTACGTAAACGGGGTGCTCACAGTGGCGGCACCTGGGAAGCACAGCCACTTTCAGGGCCAGAGGTCACTCCCAGGACCGTTCTAGTTTGGATCCGGGTCTGTTCGCCCACTCATTCGTCCCCGCAGCGGGCGGTGTGCTGGGGTGCAGCGTAGGGCAGAGCAGTCGGGCCCCTGCCCACCGGGGCTTCCAGTCTGTAGGTGAGAGAAAGACATCACGTGGGTGATCCCCCAAGAAGCAGGCTGTTACCAGGGAAAGCGGGCTGCAGTCGGGGCCCGGCAGGGCAGCCCCCGAGGAAATGACCGCCGAACGACTGGCGACAGGTCACCAGTGAAAAGGCCGGCCAGGGGAGAGAGGGCACTGCCCGCGCGGTGACTGCCAGCACAGGGCCTGGGGCTCGGAAGGAGGGGAGGCCTCGGGACGAGCCGGGTAAGGCCCCGTGTTAAGGGTCTGGGTCTTCACCGTAAGAGCAGCGGAAGTCACGGAGGGACTTCTAAGCAGGGGATGGCTGGTTAGAGCTGCGTTTGACAGAGACCGGCCTGCTGCTGCACCATCAGGTCAGAGAAGCCCGGGCAAAGTGCCCGTGAGGGGAGGCAACGTGAAAGCTGCTGGTGGCCTGAGAGAGCCGTTTGCGGGGAAGCAACGGCCAGTTGAGCAGGCTGCGGGACTGAGGGGAGGGGAGGGAGAAACAGGAGCGACCAGAGGGGCCCGACGGGGTTCTTCTGATACGAAGGGACCAGGGCAGTTCAGGGTGCTGGTGGGATGTGTCTGCAGCACGAGGGATTGAAGAGAAGGATGCAGAGGTTTCCGAGAGGCCGGGAGGCGCCAGGATGGCAAGGCCAGCGTCACCGGGGCGGGGGGAGGGACGTGGGTATCGGCAGGCGTGCTGGCCTGGCCAGCGAAGTGGATGTTGTTCAGGCAGCTCCTGTCTTCCCTTGTGGAGAGCAAGGTGGTCGGTGGCTGAAGAAGTAGAGGAAAGCCCGGGTGGTCGGGGCAGGAGGTGGCCGGGCCAAGTGGACAGAGCAATAGGGGAACAGAGCGTGGCAGACGTGAATGGTGTGGAGGGTAACCGGGCCCCAGGTGACGGCAGGGGGACAGCAGGTCGTAACTCAGGGTCATCCGGGCTGGAGCTTTGCCAGGCTGTTGAGAGAACAAGACAAACTGCCAGGCTTAGGACGTTGGCAAGAGAGCGGTCATTTCCCAAATGATGGCTGTGGGAGGCTTAGCTGTGAAGGGAAAGGAAGTGAAGACAGAGGGGCCAGTGGGGCCGAGCAGGTTGATCACCTCCAAGATTGGTGACTTCAGCAACAGCCGAATGAGCCAGATGGGCCAAAGTGTGGCCAGGAGATGAGACACTTGAATTTGCAGTTTGGGGAAGTGGGGACAGGGTGGCCAGAATTGACCACAGGCCACTGGGATAAGAAGTGAGGAGCCAGCATGTCTGACCTCTGAAGCCCTGCCTGGTGGGCAGGGAGTGGAGCAGAGGCCCCGGTGCCCGACGGGGAGAGGAGAGGCCAGGGTGGCAGAACGGAGGGAGGAGGAATTTGCAGAGGCCGTAGTAACAAAGTACGCTGAAGGCTGACCCGCTTCAACAGCAGACGTCCGTGTTCTGACAGTTCTGGAAGACCAAGACCAAACACCAAGATCAAGGTGTTGGGCAGCACTGTTTCTTCTAAGGCTGCTCTGCTCAGCTTCTAGATGGCGCCGGCTCCTCCCTGTGTCCTCACGTGGTCCTTCTCAACACGTCTGTGTCCTAATTTCGTCCTCCTCACGGGCAATTGGATTAGGGCCCACCCTGATGGCCTCTTTACCTCTATAAAGATCGCATCTCCAAATGCAGCCACGTGCTGAAGCCCTGGGGCTTAGAACTTCAGCGGATGGATTTGGGGGCAGAGTTTACCCATATCAGAGGGTAATGAGGGATATCATTTCAGCCTCTCAACCTGGAGGCACTTGGGATGTGAAAGAACAGATAGTCCCATCCCTGGAAGTCTGCAGGGAGAAGCGGTATGCTCAAGGGAGCACCAGATTTTAGACGGGGTTAGGAGGAGACAGAAATACGTGAAGAGGCTGAACATGAGAGAGACCTTGGCACATCCTGGCTGTTCCTGCCACGGCCCGAGTCTGATTGGGCTGAGTCTCAAGGCTGGACTTGACCTTATCTGGTCTGCAGAAAATGAGTGGGTGGTACCCTAATTACCTCCTCTGATTTCAGTTCTGGTCCTTATCAGTTGATGTTGAGCAAGTCAGATCACATGGCAACAACCACCAATGTCCAGTTCAGAGAAGGAAGTTGGACCCCTCCCTCGCAAACTCTCATTACAGGATTTGTCCAATTTTGGGGTGGTAGGGGTAAGTCAAGGAGTCAGTCTGCGCCACTGAAGGAAGGCAGACTCGGTGATTTTCTGGATAGGACTCCCATGAGGTCAGTCTTCTTATATTCAGGGGTGAAATGGGACAATTGTGAACCAGCTATAGTAGATGTGGGAGATGGAGTGGTGCTCTCCAGACAGCTCCCAGTTAGCCCTCTGCACTGTCAATGAGACAGTCATCTGCACAATGTCAGGGCCGTAGCTGAATGACCTCAGGGTCCTGCCTAGCTCTGAATTCTGTTAAGGAAGCAGCAGTAGAATGCTTCACTGTACTTGGTGAAGACCAAGCATGGAGACCATGAGCATGAGCCTCAAATTCAGGATTTGGTGTAGATCCAAGAGAATCACTGGCGATTTAGAATTCGGAAAACGGGCCCCGGAAGGAAAGACAGGCCTTTAAGCACACCTAGCTTCCCTGAGAGTAGGCGTAACCCCTAAGGGTCCCTAGAACGGGCTGGGAAGACCATGAGAACAACAGGGCGAGAAGAATGCTCCAGCCCCCACTCCTTCCGAAGACCCCCACCCTTGGGGCTGGGCCAGAGCTGCCCCCACATGTAGATGAACAGGTGAAAGCGACCCCACTCCTTTCTCCACACCAGGATTCTAGTGCACAAATTCCTTAAAAGCCATTCTGACAGAATTAACCCAGGGTGTAAGTGTTTGCTCTTCCTGAAACTCAAAACTCAGACCATTTTAATTAGAAAATTCTGCGTCTAAAAGCTTTGGGTTGAATTGTCACAAAACCATATAATGCTTTAAATACATTCCAAAAAGAATACAAAATGCATCGCTTTATTCCTTCAGCTTCCATGTGAAAGCACTTGGCAGTTTGCTTGGCACTTAGTACATGCCCAAAACTGTCGGTATCACCAGCATTATAAGTAGTGTGTTTTGGCTATTCGTTACCATAGAATATGTTTTCCTTTTTCTCCAGGGTGATCAGTCGGTAAGTGTTTATTTCGTGTGCACTGTGTGGCCATTTTAAGTAGTCATGAGCTCAGAAAGGATTCTTCGGGCATGTCTAAGTTCGGAATGCCTGTCGTGGAAAGGACGTTTCGGGATAGCCCTCAGGCACCTGCTTGGCCCAAATTATAGCACACCCATAGCACACATGCGTCATCTCAAAGGAGTAGAAAACTAATATTTTATTTATATTCAGTTATTACATTATTTATAATCAGTAGCAGTACTTAAAATTGAAATCTAAATGTGTTTTACTATCCTGAATGTTAGCATTTGAGGAAAAGTAAGTTTAATTAGAGAACAGAAGCGGGGCACCTGGGTGGCTCAGTCGGTTGAGCGTCCGACTTCGGCTCAGGTCATGATCTCGAGCCCCGCATTGGGCTCTGTGCTGACAGCCCAGGGCTTGGAGCCTGCTTCGGATTCTGTGTCCCCCTCTCTCTTTGCCCCTAACCCACTTGCATTCTGTCTCTGTCTCTCTCAAAAATAAATAAACGCTAAAAAAAAAAAAAAAAGAAAAAAGAAAACAGAAGCGAATGAGAAACAGTGTATAAATTCTGAAGGACACTTCATGGTGGATTTTCAAGAACTCCGTGGTTGAGGCCGCTGTGGCTTTCCTTTTCTTGACGCTGGTGTCAGCTGCATTTTTAGACTTGACTTTCATAACTAGGGTTCTGTTTTGATTCACAAATGGAGGAAGAAAAAGAGGGAGAGAACTTCTATTTCGTGTAACTCGGCAAGAACGAGGAGAGCAAAAGGGAGGATGAAGGAGGTTAAAGAGGATGTGTGTGTACACACGAAGATGGCTAGTAATTAGCTCTTCGCCTTGGCAGATTCCCGACCTTTGACTCGTAAACAGGGACAACTATCCTGTCTCCCTCCTGCGGGTGTTGTAGGACTGAGTGAAAGAGTGCTTGCAAGCGACTGCCACACTTCTCAATAAATGTTAACCACAATTATCCGTTATTACTGGTATTACTGTTCCCATTACTGTTCCCATTACTGCACTGGAACACGTGCAGTTCCAGTGGGGACAAAGAGTGCCAACTGGGTCCGGATACGGGTTTGGCTGGTTCCTCGGCTGTCCCCTAGATGGCGCTGGTGCCCCAGAAGCACAACGAGTTGTCTTTGGTAAGGTGGAGGCGGGAAGCTGCTGTTTAATGTTCCCAGAGTAAACCATACACCACCCCGAACGCTGAGAATGATCAGTGAAGTTGCTCCAGCAGATCAGCGATATGAGGAAATGCAGCGAGAGCCGTCAAGTCTGTTGTGCTATGGAGAACCTTTGCCCATCCTGGGGGAAATTCATCTGAATAAAACTGACTTGAGCAAATGCAGACTTCGCATGAGAAATCCAGGAAATTTAGACCTAAAGTTAAGTTTTCCCAGTGGTCTTGTTTACTAGATTAATTGTTCTCTCCGTCTTCTCCCCCCTTATACTGCGTTACCCTCTTCTCTTTCCCTTATGCCTCTGTCTTTTGCATGAACAGCGTCAAATCATGTTTCCAGAACATGGAGATTTGCAAGCGTCGGGTGAATATGTATGACACCGTGAACCAGAGCAAGACCCCTTTCATCACGCATGTGGCCCCCAGCACGTCCACCAACCTGACCATGACTTTCAACAACCAGCTGAACACTGTCCACAACCAGGTGAATGGGGAGCAAAGGGGAAGGTGGGCAAGGCTGACTGTGCATCAGGAATTGTATTTTCCCACCAAACCTAGTCAGGAGGCCAAATTCCTCCAGTATCACATAGAAGAGACAATATGCACAAAATTCCTCTACTGTCGTGTTTATGTAAGAAAGTGTTTGCTTCCACGGTTATTTCCTTTGAGAGACCCAGGGACCCTGTAAAGGTGCTCTTTCTGAGATAGTACCTCTTAGTGTTTCCCTTGGTCCTGAGGTGGGAATAACATAAAGTCTCCTGCTATAATCCGTTTATGCCTGACACGTGCCTGGTAAAGAATTCTAGCACTGGAAGGGACACTGGCGGTCACCCCATTCGGGTCTCTCCCCCTTGTCCCCACACTGCTGGGTCCACATGATCTCCTTTCAGGACAGATAAAAGCTGTCCTTTCTCCAAGTCACAGGGAAAATCAATTCATCAGTCTGTCACCAGAATCCCAGCAGCTGGAATCAGAAGGGACCAGGAGAGTAAGGCTTTTTTCTCACAGATACCCAACTTTTTGAAAAAATTAGCAGAACCCCACACTTAACATGCTGTTTAAAATAGGGGTAACATACTTACTGGAAATACTTAGTGGTTGAATAATTTCCAAATCCTAGTCTGGGCTGCCTCTGCTATTTAAGACACTTTTACTTTTATTCCCAAATTCCAGTCTTATCACTTCCCCCAAAGAACTAACTGCCCCTAGATTTTTCCAGCCTTGGTATCCGTCTGCAGTGGCCACAACACTCCCGTGTGTGTGTGTGTGTGTGTGTGTGTGTGTGTGTGTGTGTGTGCACGTGTGCGTGTGTGTGTGTGTGTGTGTGTTCTAGAGGAGGAGAGGAGTGTATATGTTCTAATCCCAAAGTATGAATACCTCCGCCTGGCCATCCACTCACTTCTCTGTCACTGAAAAGGCACCAACCCCAGCTTCCAGCCTCTTCTCCCTCACGTCCCCCCTCTCCTAGGCATCCCTCTCTCCCCCACCTAAACTCCAGGAGAGGCCATGTGGAATGTGCCACCCTCGGGACCACTGGTGTCCTTAAAGCTCTCCTTAGAGAGAAGAGCTTGTGCTCTCTAGGACCTGGAGTCCAAAGAAACAAACAGTCCCGCCCAGTGCCTGGCCCTGCACTCAGGCTAAGGTGTCCACAGCCAGACATATGCGCGCCTTGACAAAACACCACCACAGTTTTGTCCTTCAGCACCAGAACCCCATCACGTCAGCTGGCAGATGGGTTAATATTATAAAGAAGTTCATCTAAATTGACGGTGTCAGGGAGGGTTTCAGTGTGGAGCACACAGGCCCCAGGCGAGGCCTTGAAGCAAGCACAGAGGCTTGGAGAGAATGTGCTGGGAGGATTTGTGTGAGTCTGCAGGGCCTGTGCTCTCCGGCTGGTGCCATGAGCACAGAAAGCAGAGGGAGGTAAATTTGGAAGGGAAGGTTGGCCAAACCATGGGTAAGGAGTGCCAGACCCAAACGCGCATATAGTATTTATTAGACAGTAATTGGAGATTTGAGGGCAGAGGTGAAAACATGCACAAAGTAGTCTTTTGGAAAGAATGTTCTAGCCTCAGTGCCCAAGAAGAACTGGAACGGAGAAAGCGGAGGCCAGAACTTCACTGAGCAGAGCCCAGCCACCAGGGGAGAAACCCTGAGAGTCAGGTTCCAGGGACGATTGGAAGAAGGCAGGCGTAGGGGAGACAGAAGAGTCGAGGACCCGCGTTGGGGACCTGGAGGGTGCCGGTCCCCAAAGAGGGAAGCTCGGGACACAAGCCGGCAGTGGGAAATGGGGACAGGGCGAGGCTCCAGGAGAGGTTCTCTGGGCAGAGAACAGAGAGGAAACAGTAAGAGAACACAGACGCCGGCCTACACATGGTACACACAACCCAGAGGCCCAAAACCCACTCTTTGTGGCAATTTGTATTCTAAAACCCAAACGTGTGTGCTACATAATTTAGTGATTACTTTCAAGCAAATTAATTTGCTTAACACTAAAATTGGGCATAAAACCTAGGTACAAAAAAAAACAAAAACAAAAAAACACATAAACTGAGTAGCCTTTGTATCAAATCTGACATGTGTACGTACCCTTCTTAAAACTCTACTTCTGTACTTGTCCAGGATGCCTTGTGGCTCTTTCCTCCTCGTCCATAACCTCTAGTGGCAAAACCTGTGTTAGGCAATGTTGAATTCGATGACCCCGGTAACCTCCACCTATCTTGCTGCAGGATCCGTGTGAAGAAGCTAGAAAATTCCCAATTTAGAGCCGATTTTCCTTCTGTGGCCTTGCTTTCCATGGAAGCTCATTCTCAAGTGAGGTCTCTTTCCGAAAGAGGCAGGAGAAAGAAAGCACATGATTTCAGAATCCATTTAACCCTCTCCATTTAAGTTCCCCTGAGCCATCGGCGTCTTTCCTCTCTGGCCTCCAGCCTACGAAGCTGAACCAGCGTAAGAAGGCCCCAAACTCCAATGAGAAACCCCAGGATCGGTGTGTCCCTCTCCCTGGCTGGCTGTTAATGTAGCGCGTTTATTTGCAGTAACCTGTTCCGCAGCCATCTGAGGGTATCTGTGAACAGTGCTCGCCTCAGACCTGAGCGGGGAAGGCCCCCTTCCGAGGCCCACTTCAGCCTCCCTCCATGTCTGTGTGCTTCCGTGCCAAGCTCTGGGTACCCAGGACGCTGTGCCCGCAGAGGCCTCCTCCTGGTTCTGCCTCCCAAGTGTGGACAGCACCGCAGGCCCCAGGGAAGGGGTGTGTGGACAGAGCTTAGAGGTGTGGGCTGGCAGGCCCATATACGTGCACCGAGAGCCCCCCAAGTCATGGGACACAGCTGGGTCAGGAAGAGAAGGCCGTCAGGGGGTGAGCAGCAGCCAAGGGATCCAAGAGTCCTAAACTCAAACCCGGCCTTCCAGGTTGTTGGAAGGTAGAAGGGCAGAACATGAACGGTTTCTGGCCTGATTTTTAACTTTGCAGTTTGTAGACTTACGGCACGCAAGCTTCCGTTTGCACTCTGGTCCAGGCCCCACACAGGTTAGGCATTGGCCCGAGTATAAGCACCAAAGGGGATGCTGAGGTGAATGTGGCTGCAGGTGCCTGCTTTTCCCTGAGCCTTCAACTGTGTTTCCACTCCCCTCTGTTTTTGCTTTTTTGGCTCTTGGTTTTTGTTTATTTGTTTACTCCTCTTTGAGTTCATTTATTTGATTTAGACTCGCGTCTCCCAACATGCCACGTCCCTCATTTTTTATTTTTGTTTATTTTTTGTTCAATCCCCATCATTCCTTTAGGCTCCCACCTCCACCAGTGCCACTATTTCCTTAGCCAATCCCGAAGTCTCCATACTAAACTACCAATCTGCACTCTACCAGCCCTCAGCGGCGTCCATGGCTGCAGTGGCCCAGCGGAGCCTGCCCCTGCAGACGGGAACAGCCCAGATCTGTGCCCGGCCTGACCCCTTCCAGCAAGCTCTCATCGTGTGTCCGCCCGGCTTCCAAGGTAAGGCTGAGCAGACCCGGCCCCTCACCTGCTCCTTCCTGTTCCACCTCCAGGGAACCGGCGCCCACGCCTTTCTTTCACGCCCACCTCCCTGGACTAAGGCTGAGGCCAAGGCCCTCTTCATTTCCGAGAGAGCACTGGCATTGCTGAACGTCAGGGCCCCTCTCCTACTCTGGCCAGCCTAGAAACAATAGGACTTAGGCTTCAGCGCCAAGTTGTTTTTCTCCCCACCTGCTGGTGTTTTTGTCCCAGGCCAGCTGTCTGTAAATACCCACGTTGTCTGTGTTCTTCTTGTTAGGCTGATGTCAGCTTGTATTTCCTCCAGTGAAATGTCCTCGGGGCTTGCCACTCTCTGACAGCCAACTGGGTCCAGTTCTCACGAAGAATATGAATCTGTCCACAAAGGACCTCCCACGCCTGTCCCCCAAATGATTCTTTAGCCATGCACCTCAACACTCTTCTCCTGAAAGTTCTAAGAACCAGCCAGGGTTGACTGTGTACGAGGTCTCGGGGTCTACGGAAAGCTCCGTATCTGTTCCCAAATGTGACACCCTGTGGCTTGAGCCTGTGTGTGGATGCTCAGTTCCAGACAGAGGGCTTCCAGTGGATTCACAGGCTATTCCCCGACACCCCTGCTTTGACATACACCAGTGTATTTTCATGTCAGAAGCTGTCTTTCTGGTGTAATTTGTCAGCATAACCGTTCCATCTTTGGCTTTACAGACTCCTTAATTTGACCTCCTAGTCTCCGAAAACATTCCAAGTTGGTTTCTGTGGCTTTAACATTTTTAAGTTGGAAACTGAAGGGGAGACTTGCAAAGGACCAGGTGATACCTGGCGGGGACTGGTGCAAAGGGGAGATGGGAGCGGACGTAGCTGGCTAGGAAGGTTCTCCGCGTCCGGCTGTTTCCAGCCGCTCACCAACCCCTCTCTCCCTTGCCGCTGTCCGGAACAGGGCTGCAGGCCTCTCCCTCTAAGCACGCTGGCTATTCCGTGCGAATGGAGAATGCGGTTCCCCTCGTCACTCAAGCCCCGGGAGCACAGCCCCTTCAGATCCAACCAGGTCTGCTGGCCCAGGTAATTCCTTCTTTATTATTACTGGTATTGCCATTATCCTTGTTAATGTTGTTCACAAAAGAGATATATCTCTGCTAATTCCCTCCGTGGTAATGAGTTAGGTGCTTGGACTCATTAGAAGATACCAGTAATATTCTGAATGATCCCTCGGTGAATCACCTCCCTATGTTATCTTGCTTATAATTCCAAGAAGAAATTTAGACATAGGGAGAGTCTGGGGAAATTATTATTAACTATTGTGGCTTTATAATGCAAACGTATATGGAAGACATAGGTTTTAATCCTAACTCTACTAATAACTGTGTGACCTCAGGCAAGTCAGTTAACATTTCTTTGCCTCAAACTTCTTTCTTACCAGATAGAAATGATTTTATTTTTAGAGCCAAAAGGAGCCTTGGAGATGTACCTCCTTATTTTATAGGGAGTTGCAAAACCAGGATCACAGAAGCTGTGAGCTGGAACCTTCCTTATCTGTTCACAGAGGTACTCCAATGGTAGAGGGGGAGCACAAGAGTTGAAAGTGGTTGGAAATGCGTAAAGCGTTGTGGAAGTTTGAGGTAACGTAGGGATGCAGTGATAACAGTAATCGATCCTTAATGGCACTTGAACAAATACATCATCATTATGCCAGACACTCTGTAACTGTTTAATTGATTTAATCCCCACAACAGCACGATAAGTAAGGCATTTGTCTCCAGTTGACAAGTACGGAGAGCAGGCACAATCAGTGGCTCAGAGTCCCCCAGCAAGTAGGTGCCACAACCAGGACACGAACCCTGGAGGTCGGATGCTGGCATCTGTATTTAACCACCGTGCCACATTGCCCCCCATACTTTCATTTCTATCACTGGGCGTCAAGGACAGCCTAACCTACATGCTGTCCGTTTAGAAGCACGTTTATTTTTAAATAAGGTAGGTTCCCAAAGCCTTCTCTCAGAGTGTTCCTACGGGCACTTGACTTACGGTATCTTTTGTTGAATAGAAGTTTTTGGTTTGGGGGCACCTGGGTGGCTCAGTCGGTGAAGCCTCTGACTTGCTGGTCTCAGCTCGGTTTGTGACCTCACGGTTCATGAGTTCAAGCCCCACATCAGGCTCTGCGCTGACAGCACGGAGCCTGCTTGGGATTCTCTCTCTCCCTCTCTCTGCCTCTCCCCTGCTCACTCATATGCACTCTCTCTCTCTCAAAATAAATAAACTTTATTTTAAAAAAAAAGAAGTTTTGGGGGTGCCTGGGTGGCTCAGTTAGTTGAGCGTCCGACTTCAGCTCAGGTCATGATCTCACAGTCTGTGAGTTCAAGCCCCACGTCAGGCTCTGTGCTGACCGCTCAGAGCCTGGAGCCTGCTTTGGATTCTGTGTCTCCCTCTCTCTCTGTCCCTCTCCTGCTCATGCTCTGTCTCTCAAAAAATAAATGAACATTTAAAAAAAAGTTTTTGGTTTTAATTTTAACGTAGTGAAACTGCACAGGTCTGTTTGGGCTCTCTTTTCCACTGGCCTTCCTCATCCTGCCGTCTTAACTGTGATAACTAACACCTGTCTTGCTGTCTGATTGGGAAAGCCTTGTTCCTGTTTGGTTTTTCAAAAGTCCCCTGTCTGTCCTTCACTTTTCATATGAATTTAAACATCACTGTTACAAACAAAACAGTCATTGGCTCAGAGTCGCACAGCAATTAGCCAACTGTCTTCTCTTTTTTCTTTTCTCTTTTTTTAGCAATTGTCTTTTCCAAACAGAAAACCCTGATGTGCATTTACTAGACTGGGGCTAAATCTATATTTACTTTAGGAAAAGCTGACATCCTTACGGCATTAAGTCATTTCAGGCACAAACACGGCATAACTGTATATGTTATCTTTCACTCTTTTTATTAAAGTTTTCTTCTGTTAGAACGGTTCCTAAATATTTTACAGGTTTTGCTATTAATAATTTTATTGATTTTATTTTCCGAGTATTTGGTTTTGGTTTATAGGACTAAAACTGATTTTGGTCTACTGAGTTTGTTATCTGGAAGTCCTTCTAAACTCTGATTAGTTATGATTGTTTCTGGGAATTCCCTTGGATTTCTTCTATGGACCATCTTACTAGCTTTGTTTCTTCCTTTACACTCCTTATTCTACTGTGCTGCTAGCACCTCAAAACAATGATCACTAACAGTGTTGACACTGGACATCCTTAATTGGTCCCTGACTTTACAGGAAATTCTTCTAGCTATTTGCCATATTTGGTCTGCTATCGATATTGGGTGGAGACAGCTTTCCCAAGCTTGCTAATCTTTTAATGAATATTGAGTTATGTCACACGTTCTTTCTGCATCTGTTAAAATACTTGTGTTTTTTGTTCATTAATCTATTAATGTGACACGTTACATTAATAGGTTCGTAATGTTAAACTATCCTTATATTTCCAAGATGAGCTTTAATCATGTTCGTTTGATATGCTTGTATGCTTTCCAGTATTGGGCTGTTTGTAAATATGTGGTTAGTGTTTTTATTTCTATGTTCAGAAGTGAGAAATGGCATATAATTTCTCTTTCTTATAGAATCCTTATCTAACTTGAGCATCGAGGTTACCCCGTCTCATAAAATGTGTTGGATATTATTAACCTCTTTTTCTGTTTCCTGGAACAGCTTATTTAAGGTTGATATTAACCATTCTTCATCTCTGTTCTTAAATGCAAGTTGACTTCGCAGTGACCACTAACACCAGCTTCTGGTGGCACACCAAATTTTGTTGCTGAAAATTTATAAACAGAGAATCTTCTGTACTTAAAGCAAGCCTTTTCTTCCCTCTCTCACTGGTCCTCATGGCTTCTTTTTGCTCGCACGGTTTCGTAGTAGGGAGTTCAGAAAAAGCCGAGAAAGATCAAGAGAAGGAACCATAGGTTCACTCTGGGGGCAGCATAGCTTGTTCGTACTTTATCTGAGTGGCAGAAACCCAGACCAGCCTCCCAGTGCTCCTCCTCTGTGAGCCAAAACCTAGAGAACTCACATGTACTTACAGATCTTTTTTCGTTGGCGCACTTAACCCCGGTAAGCCAGAAATCATTTCTGAAAGAAACAATAATTAGCATTCTTATTAGCTAACCTCAGCTTTCTCCGTTGTTCAGTTTGGTGCAAACCAACAGGCTCAGCATTTCTGAATCTGTTTGTGTTTTAATCATAGCAGGGAAGAGCTTTGCTTTTTTGCCCACTTGAAAAAGAGTCCCTAGAGTGCTGTAAATCTCCAAGCGGGCTTAACCCAAAGCTGTAATCCGGAGCGGGAATAAAAATTACATGTGCAAAGATCTTAGTCCCTGCAGTGTTTATAATGGGGAGCTGCTGGAAGCAGTTTGAATGTCCATCAGTAGGAGATTTGTTAAATAAATGGATGTGTACACAAAATGGAACGCCACATAGCCATTAAAAAGGACACGGAACACCAATGCACCCCCACATGCAAAGATTTCTTGTATTAGGTGAAAACAACTTCCTGCCCTATCCAGGATCACGTTGTGTCTTTCTGTCGGTTGGTTGCTTTTTCTTTCTCTGTTTGTCACTTAATCCATGCCAGTGTGTTAGTGTAAAGGGGGAGCTCTCTCCTAGGTATTTTTAAATATCCCTTCAAAGGACAAAAGTAAGCTAACTTATAAAACTAGTATGGTGGCTATAAAAAAGCAATAACTAAACATTTAAACTAGTGCCTTCCTTTTTTTCTGGGTAAATTTCTAGGTATCAGGCAGAGGCACCCCAAATATTATTCTTTACTTTAAACATAGCTGAAAAGTGGGCATCATTCTTTTTACAGATATTTAAACCTTAGGAGCGCCTGAGTGGCTCAGTTGGTTAAGAGTCCGACCGGCTCAGGTCATGATCTCCTGGGTCGTGAGTTCAAGCCCTGCATCGGGCTCTGTTCTGACAGCTTGGAGCCTGGAGCCTGCTTCATATTCTGTGTTTCCCTCTCTCTGTGCCCCTCTCCTGCTCATGTTCTCTCTCTCTCTCTCTCTCTCCCTCTCTCTCTCAAAAATAAACAAACATTTAAAAAATATTAAAATATTTAAATCTTTTCAAGGTTTTTATTTGTGAAGGTTTAGGAACGGAGTCATTTGAATCCATCCCACGTTAGTTTTGTTTGCTTTGCTTTCTCCTCCCCACCTTCCAGCAGCACCCCATGTCCTTTGAAGGGAAGCAGTCTCTCCGGGGTTCCCCAAGGATGTGTGTGCATGGGAGGCCGGAGTGAAATGACACCCTCTTGTTTACATGATACGGGAGTGATCTTTACCAACCGTCTTGCCAGTCCCAGCCTTGCTGGTACTACCCACAGGGGGCTGTCCCCTCTGTCGTCCGATGCCTGGGGCCTGCGCTCACACCTTGACCACCATCAGAGATTGTGGATAAGTGGATAAAGGCAGAGAGATGGAACATACAGCTCTTGATTGAGACAGTATTGAATTTAGCTCACTTTTCAAGTTGGCAGGATCCAAAAAAACCCCCTTGGACTCGCAAGGCTGGAACAGAAATTCAGAGCGCCCCCAAGAGGTGGAGGTTTGCCATATCCTTCTAGACCCCAGCCTTTTGAAGGTCTATGCATGCTTCTAGTCCTAGCACCCGAATCCCTTTAAATGTCTCCCTGGAACTTTTTCAGCCGTCCAGATTACAAAACTTCAGTGCTTCTCATTCATTACCTCCTCTGGTAACATTTTCAGCAAGCAGTCCCTCCAGCCATTCTGTCTTGCTATCTGCTTCTGTCTTGCTTGGTGCCTGCGTTGTTAATGAATAAGGAACACTTTTTCATGTGACTTTTATGCCTTCACCACCAGCCCTGATCCTGAATAGAGCCATCGTTTCTGCGCATCCTCTCCATAAAGGAAGGTAGTACACTGGTGAGAACATGGGCTCTGAAATTTGATTGCCTGGAAGTCCGAGAAGCCAGTCCCACCGCTTACCAGCTACATAACTGTAGGGAACCTACTTTTGAATTTAACGTTTTTTTTTTTCAAATTAACACATGTACCTAATGTTTAAAGTG